CATATCCTTCTTCACTGTCATTTTATGTAATAAGAAATCCCCGTCCGGTGCCTGAACTGGCACGGGGATAACCCTTTTCGATCCTGCTTCTATTATATGAACTTCACTTGGTCTATAATTTTCGAATTGAATTTGTAGCTGTTTGGAGTGATCTTAATCGTTATGTACGGCAGGGTTAAGTGGCCCTTCCTAACCCCTAGATATCCTGTTGGCTGTTTGAGGCTGATAGCGAAAAATCTGCATCATCCTCTTGGATGTTATGCAGCTGGCCACTAGTCGCCGGCCGATTTCTTTGACTGCCTTGAGTTGTTGGAGCTATACGACTGTCCAGAATAGTTCGAATTCCTTGGCATCCTGGACTGACCGCACCCTCCTGCGTCTCCAGCCGCCTGGATTGCTGATTGCCCCGCTCTGGAATTGTAGTTGTTGTAACTGTGGTTATTCCAATGCCTGTTCTGATTATTTTGACCGTAATTCCACCTATTGTTCTTATTTTGATAACTACGGTACGGTCTTGTATAATTCGGATTTCCTCCTTGACTATAATTGTCCGCCCGGAATGGGTTACCCATCATTGGGTATGGAAATCCAAATCCTGGCCATCCCCCCATGCTGGGCATCACAAACGGCATTGGAAACTGTGGTTGGGTATTACCTGCCCACCGATACTGTGACCAAGTGCCAGTTTGCGACTCACTTGTCGGATTCTCCTGTTTTTCAGGGTCCTGGCTTGGAGTCTCCTTACTCTCTTTGCCGTGCAGCTCGTTTGGTCCTTGACCTCTTGTTTCTGTCCCTGTTTCCTCTAAAGTGCCCAAATTCTTTTCCCTGCAAGCTATTTCGTACGCCTTTGCCATACTTAGGACCCCCATGTTTCTGATTGTTACTCCTATCGGTCCTTTCAAGGCTGATACAAACGCATTACACTGCACCGCGTAAGACATGCCAGCGGAAAGATAATTCTTCGTAAACAAACCTTGTTTAATTACTTTTTCCATTAATTTCTTATGTAACCCACTTCGACAATAATATTTTTTATTTAGTTCTATCCATCCCCATGCTACACGGCCGCCCTGTACTATACAGTACGCCGCCTAATACATGTGAATGGACAGATTTTGCTCTTGTGCTGAACTCCTGTCCTCTACATCGACACTCGACAGCCGACCTTTTGATCGAGCTGTTCGATGCAATCCGGGCCCTCGTCGGACTCGAACCCTCTTTTTAGCTACCATGCGAACTTTATTTAATTAATTAAACTCCCACTTGCTCTCAGCATTTCCTTTTTATTCACTTTATTTAATTTTTAAACGCCTTGTAAGTTATTTCGTAATCACTGACTCCCTATTTTCTTTGCGCTATTCCTCTCAACTCAGCACTTTTGGTCCACTTTTCTGCCTCTCTTTTATTCATCAGCACCTTCCTTTATTTATTCGGCAATGTTTAACCATACGTCAGCCTTAATTTTCCTCACTGCACTGCTTGTAGCCTGAATTTTGTATTCACCTCCACTGGTTTCACAAGGTATTTGCACTTTTCGTTTATTTGTTTATCTATTACTGCTGTGTTTCATCCATTTTATTTGTTTATATTTCCATTTATTTATTTCATTAATTAATTTCTTTTCTCTTCACTCCATAACACCTACACTGTACTCACTCTTCTTACGTACATAACGATGCTTAATAAAACGCTGCAAATCCTATCCATCCTTCGTCGTCTCAGAGTCTCCTGGATTCCGTTCTTAGTCGAAGGACTACCGACTGCGCCAGTTATAGATATATGTGTAGGTTCTTAGATATATGGTTTGCAATAATGCCAGTGGCAATTAATAAAGACGTCTGATAATTTCAATGGTAAAATCAAGAGTGAAGTTTATTTAGATTTCTTTCTTTAATGGTTTACAATAAGTGCTGATCTTGCGGGACGGCCGTAATTGGAGCGGATGCACGACTCTGGAGTGAGCCCAATATTTAGTGCTGCGTTGACATTCTTCTAACTGGCAGACTGCGAGAGGGGTTTCGGCTGGGCGCCGAGGGTATGTGCTGAGGTGGTCTAATTGGAGGACTGTCGAAGGGGTATATGACGAGGTGGTAACTCACGCACTATTAGAGTCGATATTTTGTGCCTCGATACTCAATTAAAAAAATTATTTGTATTGTTTCTCACTTCTGAATAATAATTTAATAATTATTTTGAACAAATCTATACTAATATTATAAAGAGGTAAAATTTGTTTGTTTGTTTGTTTGCAACGAATAGGATCCCGAACTACTGGTCCGATTTAAAAAATTCTTTCACCGATAGAAAGCTACATTATCGTGGAGTAAAGTAAGCGATAATTTATTTTGAAAAAAATTAGGGATCCGTAAGAAAATTGCAATATTGTCGCATATAAAGTGAGTTGCTACCTCATCACACTGACAAACAGGCTACCATAGCATTTTAACCCAATTTTTGTGGTTTTCATTTAACATTTCACTGTGAAATTGTGAAAAAAAAGAATTTTTATTAAATTTAAGTTGAACTGTGAAAATTATGTGGATCGTGCATTTGAGGATAAATTCACGACTCTATATGAAGTAACGGAGCTGGCGTCGCGCACCTCTAATGACTTTTAGTTAGGCTTTGTATATAATTAAGTAGTTCATAAATTATTCACAAATGTTTGCAGACGTTCCCCTAATGGGCCACCATGTTAAGATGTGGTCCGTCCTGCCGGCGGCTCGGAGTTAAGAATTAAGGGGGTTCCGTCGTCGTACAAAACACTTTGAGAATTAAACAATATAACTTCAGTATTTATTTGGGGTTTGAGTGGTTTTTAAGTATATATGTTAACAAAGCGATCAAAGGTAAAGGGTATAAATAACGCAGCTTCGTTCGCGTCGCGATGCAGTGCAGAATCAGACTAATTTGTCTCTCTCCCGCCAACAGCAGCAATAGCTCCCTTTGCCCAAACTCTCCGCAGGTATTGGCACCGTGGGGCCAGATCGCGAATCTGAACACAACTTATAGCAGTAGCTAACGGACAAAACATGGAGATAAACTGAATTGAAGCAAAAACGGATATTTTTAAAACAGGATCTATTCTATGATCCTTTGTCCTTCTCTTATGGTTCGAAATACCAGGCTGCACCAGTTATCGTCGAGCCGAGTTTAAAAGTTAATGATTTTATTTTTATGGAATAAAAACGTGCGCTTTGTTTCCAGCTTTAAGATTTTAAGTGTAGGTTAATTCTGTTTGGAACTTAAGACTCTGGTACAATTGTGTCGCTGTGAAACCCCGAAGTCCCTGAGTCTACACTTTTGACGGCTCCCTTAGCTACATTGTTTACTTGGAATCCTGTGTGGACGTTCCGTTGCTTTTGCGGGTTGAAAAATCTGGAGCTGACCGCTGATACCTGCAAGCTGATGGCAACTCGTTCAATAAATACACAAATTTTGGTAAGGTTTTTGCAATATAGCTTTGAAACTGAGAGACTAGTTTGCATAGAAACGGACACACGGACAGACCGACAGACGTACAGACGTATTTCGATTTAGATCATGATGCTGATCTTCAATGCGTTGCAAACTTATGACTGAAATAATAATACGCTCGCAAGGGTACAACAACGATGTTATAATGTTGTTTAATTCACTTTATATACGAGAGGTGTTCCAAAAGTGAAGACTTTTCAAATTTCGCGGGCGACGTGTTTTCGATCATCGATTTTTTTGTGTTTTCTTATGTTGATACACACTCTTTAAACATCAAAAAAGTTTTGACAAAATCCATGCACCACACAAAACTAACAAAAATGCTTCGACGTGTATGTATGCATCACTTGGTAGCACACCAATTTTTATACCCTTGCAGAGCAAAGGGTATTATAATTTTGGCCAGAAGTTTGCAACGCAGTGAAGGAGACACCTTAGACCCCATAAAGTATATATATTCTTGATCGGCATCACCATCTGAATCGAAATACGTCGGTACGTCTGTACGTCTGTCCGTCTGTCCGTCTGTCCTCCTGTCCATTTCTGCCCAAACTAGTCTCTCAGTTTTGAAGCTATCGTGGTGAAACTTTCCCAAAAGATGTGTAGTTATTGCACGCAGTAAATAAGTCGGAACGGGCCGAAATCGGATAACTCTATCATATAGCTGCCATAGGAGAGATCAAAAAATATATATAGAATAAATGAAAATTAATTGATAACGTCATTGTTTTTCATCATACGACTATGATTTTTTGAGTATCAAGTTTTTAAACTAGCCTTGGTTCATAAAAACGATTTCATAAAAATCGGACAACTATATCATATAGCTGCCATAGGAAAGATCGAAAAATCTATATAGAATTAACGGATATAAAATGATAACATCGTTATTTCTCATCAGAAAATCATGATTTTTGGAATATAGAGTTTTCTAACGACTCTTGAATAACAAATAAAATTTCATCAAAATCGGACGACTATATCATATAGTTGCCATATGAACAATAGTCAAAAATATGAAAAATTAATAGAAAAGTCGTCGTTGCTTCGATGTTGTTTAGCCTTTGTGTATTCTGTTCGAAATATTTGATGACTGCAGGGGTATATAAGCTTCGGCTTGCCGAAGCTAGCTTTCTTTCTTGTTTCTGGGTAGACTTGGCAACCTTCTCAACGATTAAAAGGGGCTCCTGTGCACGATCAGCTGAACCAGATTTGAGTTATAGCCCGTTAAGCACGGCCAGCCTAAAAAAGATGAGCAAGGTGTGCGTTTTTTTTTTTTTTTACTTTTTTCTGCTCCTTGCGCATGTACTTCTTCAGCGCTTAACTTGTTCTCGCTGCAAGTGCATGGTATCCCCTTTGATCGCTTAGAGGTTTGGCAAGTCAATACTAAAGATATTGGATGCCCACCAGCTAAAATATTTATGTACGTTGAACCCTATTGGTTTAATTCGTATGTGTCTACCTACAAAAAGCAACATCGTAAACATAAGTCAATCTTTTGTTACAATAAAATTATACCTCACCGTTTATTTCCTTCAAAGTCCTCTAGTTCTACTCGCAAAGAATATTCTTCGTTATTGGTCAGCATATATATGTTTTCATTACCAAGCCAAAAGTCTTTGCCTGGTTCACCGAATCCATTTTTGTAATCTGCCCAATCCCTGTTGAAGTTCTCCCGGGGATCCCCAAAATCGTCACGCCGTTGAATAACCTATAATTTACTTTGTTAATACCTTTATATTTTTAGTTGTAACCAATATTTACCGTCCAACCCCCATCACTTGATTCTTGATTGCAGTACACTTTTAGAAACCAATATGTCGTCCCACGAATTTGTAGGTAAAATACTCCAGATTTGTTCATTCCGGCATTTAAGATGTCCACGCAGGAATATCCCTTTAGTTAGGAAATATATTAAATAGACAAACAAATTAATAATATGTAAAACAAGTTATTTACAAATTAAGCTTTTGAATCTGAGCAATGCCAAAAAATTGTATATACTTAAATATTTTTAGGGAAGTTTTGTCCTTGCTAAATTGTATTTCATTATTATTATCGATTACACTGGTCAACAAAAAAAAAATAAAATCATTTGTTTCCTTTAATTTTTTTGTGTTTCTATCTCAAAATAACGTGTATTTTTTAAATATGGTAACAATTTTTCTCTTACAGCTTTTGTTTTTGAGCTACAGCTAACTACCCTCCATTACTATTGATTAGTCGTGGGGTCCAGGATTAAATACAGAAAAATTAAAAGCTGGTATTTTTGATGGGCCACAGATTAGGCAACTCGTGAAAGATCCTAATTTTGTCAAATCAATGACTGAAGTCGAATCCAAAGCTTGGAAGTCATTCGTTTTGGTTATGAATAATTTCCTAGGCAAAAAGAAATCTGACAACTACGTCGAGCTTGTTGAGTCCATGCTATCGAACTTGCAAGAGTTATGGTGCAACATGAGTGAAAAATTAGAAGCGTTTTTCTAATTATTTAATTCCGAAAATTTGGGTGGCTAATTAATGTTTTTATTTTGGCAAAACGAAACGAAAATAATGCGTGCGCTCGGTAAGACTCAATTTCAACGAATCTCTATTCTCCACAATCATACTTAAGCCTAGCTTACCGAAGGTTGGCGAAGACGGAGCGAACTCGCAGAGAGCGAACAAAAGCTTTATTGCGCTCCCGCCTTCGCCCTAAACTAACTTACAGTAAACTTCAAATTCAACGATACTTATTCTAACAATTCAAAAAATAAAAAAAACGAAAAACTGGCTTCAGCCAACACCGGCCCCGTTGAAGGCCCATCCGGCTTCAACAAACTGGAAGCGGCGCCAATTTGTGGATGGCCCGCCTAAAAATTCCTCCTCCGCTGGTCCTCACATCGACGACCCTGACCATGCCGTCCTCTCCTGCGTGAGTGGCGATGATCCTCCCTATCAGCCATTGTTGAGGCGGCAGGTTGTCCTCGGCGACGACGACCAGTTGTCCTTCCTGGATGTTGGGCTGCTCCTGGTGCCATTTGCCCCGAACTTGAAGGCCCAGCACATACTCCAGGGACCATCGCCGCCAAAACATTCGCCTGGCTGACGAGGCAAGTTGCCATCGCCGCAAGCAACTGAGACCCGCCTGGTCCGGGGTCCGGAGTGCTGGGATGGGGAATAGTGGCCCACCTGTCAGCAGGTGCCCGGGCGTTAAAGCTTCTCCGTCGCTGGGGTCGTTGCTTAACGCGCCTAGCGGCCGGGAGTTCATCGCCGCCTCGATCCCGACGAGCACCGTCTCCAGCTCTTCTGCGGTTAGGAGCGCGCTGCCCACCGCTCGTAGGAGTAGGTGTTTTGCAGTTTTCACACCTGCCTCCCAAAGCCCGCCCATGTGCGGAGCCCGAGGCGGTGTGAACGCAAACTCGCATCCGCTTCTTGATGCGAATTCGCGTATGGCGTCTGCTTCCTCCTCGATGCGCTTCCGAAGGCCCTGGAAGTGGCGACTGGCTCCGACGAAGTTCGTCGCGTTGTCGCAGTGGACTGTGCGAGGGCATCCTCGGCGCCCAACGAACCTTTGGAAAGCCAATAAAAAGGAGTTAGTGGTTAAATCTGAAACAATTTCTAGATGAACCGCTTTGGACGCAAAACAAACAAAAAGCGCTATGTAGGACTTATAAGGAGGCCTTCCACGAATTTTCAATGTCGTATAGACGGGGCCACAAAAATCAACGCCACAGATACTAAATGGGCGGAGAGCACGGAGACGATCTGCGGGTAAATTTCCCATAATTTGTGTCATTAGTCGAGGCTTGCATTTAAAGCAGCGAATACATGATCGAACTATTTGACTGCAGACCTCCTGAGCGTTTACGATCCAAATACGCTGTCGCAGGAGACTCACAAGTGCTCGTGGCCCGACATGAAAATTGGTTAGATGCAAATGCCGGACATAGCTCTGCACAAATTGGGAGCATTTTGTCAACAGCAGGGGAAACTTGGCATCGTACGTTATAGGAGCATTTGCTAATCGCCCCCCAACTCGCAACAACGAAAAATTACACCAAGTGCCTGAGTCTTCATGAATGAATGGGTTCAATCGTTGAAGACTTGGGCCAACTCTGGAGTTCTTCCGAACTTTTTCAAGAACTTCGTGATACTCGTGTTTCTGGATGGTCTCGACAATTTTTAAGAAGGCTTCGTTGTACTCATTCGGAGACAGAGTTTTTTCAAAAACTATACTCTTGTCTCTGCATTTCCTTATAAAGCGGAACATGTAACCGAACACTCTAAGCAGCTTGAGGTGTGACGAAAATCCCTCGATGACATCCACCAGTTCCGACTTCCTTACCGTGGCGGCCATCGTTACCACAGTCTTCCTTGATTCTTCAATTAGGACCTTTTCATCAAGAACGAAATGTGAATTTTTGGGCCAGGTCTCTTCTCCATTCTTCAAAAAGGATGGTCCAGTAAACCAGATTGAATCGCTAATTTCCTCTATGTCACAACCTCTTGATACAATATCTGCTGGGTTCTGGTTAGTTGGGACATGCCGCCACGTAGCTTCTCCTGACCACTCCTGAATCTCCGCTACCCTATTCGAGACGAATATCGACAAAGAAGACGGATGGGATCGAATCCAATGCAACGTAACTTCCGAGTCTGACCAATATACTATCCGTTCGATAGGGACCTTTAATAGGGGTTTGATTCTGTGACAGAGATCTGCGAGAAGGTGAGCGGCACATAACTCAAGCCTTGGGAGCGTTTTAGTCTTGAGCGGCGCTACTTTAGATTTTGACGTCAGTAATGACAGTTTAATACCTTCTGCAGTTTTGCTACGAATATAGACGCAAGCTCCATAAGCTCTCATGGATGCGTCGGCAAAGGCATGCAATTGAACCGGTGACATCGGATCGGTGTGCACATACCGCGGAATTGTTATCTCTTCCAAACGAGACAATGTATTTTTCAACTTATTCCACGCAGTTTCCAAATGCACAGGAATCGACTCATCCCAATCCAACTTGTTCAGCCAGAGTTCCTGCAATAGGATTTTTCCTCTGATTACGATAGGACTAAGCAAGCCGAGGGGGTCGAACAGCTTCGATGTCACCGATAGTATGTTCCGCTTTGTCGCTCTGAGACCCATGACGGAATTGTCAATTTCAAACTTGAAAGAATCTTCGTTAGGCAACCACGATATGCCTAACGCCTTCGTCGACTCTAAATCCGAGATCGGTATGGATTTAACTGTGCTCTCAGATGCGGTGACCTCAGGTGAGTTCGAAAACCACTTTGTCAATTCAAACCCGGCGGTTTGAAGAACCTGAGACACTTCAGACCTAATAGATCTGAGCTCCTCGACGCATGCAGCACCAGTTAGCATATCATCGACGTAAAAGTCGGATCCAATCACTTCAGCAGCTCTGGGGAATGAAAGTTTGGCAGATTCACTCAACCTTTTTAAACACCGAATCGCTAGATATGGAGCTGGACCAGTTCCATATGTTACGGTGTTGAGCTGGTATAATCTCAAGGATTCTGAGGGGTCTCTTCTCCACACTATGAGTTGAAATGGCCTATCCGCTTCATTTACCATTACTTGACGATACATTTTTTTAACATCGGCTGTCAGAGCAAACCTGTGCAGCCGGAAGCGGAGCAGTGTGGAGTATAACTCATCTTGGATAGTTGGGCCTACCATCAAGATATCATTTAGGGACACCTGAGATGACGTTTTGCAAGAGGCGTCAAACACGACACGCAACTTAGTAGACGTACTCTGGGGCCTAAGGACACACTGATGCGGAATAACATAATGTGGAGTCAAAGGAACTCTATTGTCTGTAGGAGACATATGACCTAACGCGAGGTATTCTTCCATGAATTCGAGATACATTTTCTTTAATTCAGGATCTCGCGACAACCTTCTTTCGAGCGACAGAAATCTCCTTTTTGCAACCTCGAATGAGTTGCCCAATCCAGTGGGATCAGATTTAAACGGCAATCTAACTTCAAACCGACCTGATGGCAAAACCTGAGTGGTCTTTCTATAGTGTTCTTCACACAACTTATGCTCAGGTGATAGAATTTTCTTTATAGATGGCATTTCTACCAGTGACCAAAACTTTTGTAGTGTGCTATCAATCGATACTAATAGCTCTTCACTACAACTGAAACTATTCACAACATCTCTTGGGGCAGACGCCTTGTATCTGCCTGAAACAACCCATCCAAGTAGGGCCTTTGAAGAGTTGGATAGTCAGGACCTTGCTTAATTTGACCAACAGCTAAAAGCTCGAAAAATGATTCTGCTCCTATCAACATATCTATTCTTTGTGGCTTGTAGAAATAGGGGTCTGCTAATGGTACGTTCTTAGGAATTTTCCAGTCACTGATATTCACAGACTGGTCCGGATGATATCCGGATATCGATTTCAAAATCCAAAAATCGAACGAAAATTCACTACCATTTATTCGCGACTTCACCACTGTGTGTACCTTTTTCTTAACTTGAGAATTGGATTCGCCAATACCAAGTAAGTTGACACACGATTCCTCTTTACGGATCTGTAAGCGGCGAGCAAGGTCTTCTGTAACGAAATTGGCTTGAGACCCAGAGTCAAGAAGGGCTCGAGCCAAAATGTATTCACCGCTTTTCGTGCGGACACTTACGATCGACGTGGCCAAAATCACCCTGTCCAATGATGTCGCATGCATAACATGTGACGTGGAAGGCTGATCCTGACTTTTAGAGGGAGACAGACTCTCTTGGGGTGGTGGCAACGCTAAACTATTCTCGGAGACGGTATACCTGTGCAGTAAAACGTGATGCGAGCGACCACAAACTCGACATTTACTACTCTTGCATTTGGAAACCGTATGACCCTTTCGCAGACAATTTATGCACAAAGACG